GCAGTAGTGCTTCTGTGTTTTTAAGAACGTGGGATAAGAATGCTAAAAGGAGTGGGGAGAGGAATAGCCAGGATGAGTCCTTGAAGCGCGAGTGCATTTTAGGCTTCTGCACTTGCCCCGCTTTTTTAGCCAAGACTTAGGGCCGTTGAGGGAGACGCGATGTATCGATTGAAGCCGTCTGTGTAGGCGACGGGGAACAGTGTGGAGCTGTGGTGGAAATGGAATGATGCTGTTGCCGTTGCCGGTGCTGGTGCTGCTGTTGCTGCTGTTGCTGATGCTACTGCCGACTGACTGACTGACTGACGCTGCGCATACTCTCAGTGAGCACAAGGGACCCTTCCTCCTCTCCCCCTTACCCCCTTCCCCTTTCCCCTCTTCCTTCCCGCCCCGTCCTACACCGGGGAGGAAGAGTGTTAGATGCGTTGCGGTTGGGTTGCGTGTGTGTGGTTGGTTGCGAATGAAAAAAAGTGATTTACTGCCAGTATCCAGTTTTTATTTTGGTTCTTTTGTGGGATTTGCAATTTGAAGGCTTTAGGAACTGTTGATGGTAGTGATTGGTAATATTTTTTGGGTGGCTTGAATTCAGATTGGTGTAGTCATAGATCTAGATGTTGATATTGGCACGATAGTCCTTTTTTTATATCATTTTTGGTATTTGAGTGGATCTTCATTTGCTAAATAGTGGAAGTGATGATGCGGTTACTCGCATTACTTCTTTGTTATTACGAGTATTATGATTATTTTTTTCTCGTCTTCTTCTCGTTGCCTCTAGTAATGTTCTTAATACTTTATTTATATGAATTATGTTGTCAGAACGGTTATTAACATTTTTTTTTGTTTTAATTACGAGATATTAGTAGTGCTTTCAATTTGTCATTTAATATAATTATTATTATCACATGGGTTCTTATATTGAAAAGCTATTGTTTACTGCCGTGGCGTTAAATTTGAGGTGAATCAAAAGTACTGTTGAAGAGTGTTATGGTACATACTAAAGGCCGTTTACTCCTTTTGTATTTGTCTTGCCTTGGAGTGTTTTTGTGTCTTTTTTTTATTTATCCCGTTAGAAGGGGCACAAGAAATAAAGTTTAATTATGTTAAGTGATTGTATTCGTGATATGGATGCTTAGAACATTATAATGTTTTTTAATTTGGAGTAAACATTATATTTTTTTCAATGTGTTTATTTGTTAGTTGTCGCACTTGTAGAGATTAAATTTACAAATTTTTCCAGGTAATTGTTGCAGCAGAAGATTTCTGGAGCGAGACCGTAAATTTGTTAGTAATGGTCTCCGATGAAGCAGCAGTTACAAGTGCCGATGTTCAGGTATTTGGCACATTTCATTTTAAAAATCTCATTAATTTAGTGGATGGGACTTTTTCAAAGAAAAAAAAAATTTTTTTTTTGAAGTTTTATCTATTTTTAATGTAATCTTATTGTGTGGAAGTGTCATTTTAAGTAGTCTTCCAAGTAAGTGGTTGTTGGTTGCATTTCTAAGGTCGATTTAACTTTTTAGCGTTGTTTTCCGGTCATGTTACGTAGGAAAGATAATGTAAATTTTCTTTTTATTTTTTTAATTATTTCACTTATATCGTTTCGTAAGTTTTTTCATTATTTGACTGATATTTTCAGAAGTTGAAAGAAGTACAGAAAACGGCATCTGAAAATCGGCTGTCAAATGGTAATTGCGAAGGGATTGCGCATCCTGTAAGTTATGGTAGTTGCGACGCAAAGAATAATGAGAATTCTGAATCACAGAAAAACGGAACTAATAAAAACATTCAGTCGCAATGCAATGGTTTTGTAGTGTCGTCTGAGAATGGTATGGTTTTAAGAAAGATCTTGTTTTTTATTTAGTTTGCTATTATAGGTTTTATGATTCGAGTTTTTAGATCTTTGCTGTCATTTTTTAAGCAGGGTGATGAATATTATTTTGCTGGAAATATGCTTTTT